TGTGGGAAACCTTATCAAGATATAATTATAAACCGTTCTTCAAAATGTCAGAAGAGTCGCTTGGTTACGTGGCATGCAGTTGTCCCTGCGGTGGAGAGTTGGACAGTCAAAATTGCCAAACGAGTCATTTTCAATCGTTCTGTGATGAAGAATAACTTGATTGCCAAGATGTCTTATTTTATGACCTATAAACGGGACGCCCTTTGCATTTTGGGCCGCTATAGACTAGGAAAGGTACACTAGACGTGATTACTTGGAGTCTTATTTAAGAAGCTTAAAAACTAAAGAGAAGGTTGAACTGATGCATATCATAGTCATTAAAATGACCCCTAGTATTATTTTCAGACACTATACTCGATTACAGTAATCCTGAAATGAAATTCCACACACCAGTCCATCACTAGCCAGCGATGCCGAAAATGAATAAGACGATTTTACAAACCTGTGAAACCTGTTGACGGGGGATTTGGTTCGATTGGTGTCCATGCCAAGGCTTGCAAAAGGTCTTGCAAATTCCAGGCAAAGTCTTGGTTGAGAAGCGCAAATTCTTCGTCAGGATCTAATTAAACAGAAAACTACTTTAAAGACTCTGGTAAGTTTCGGAGGACCAGAACTACGAAAAAAGGACTTACGACCCCAAGTAAGTCTGTGACAAGGTTCCTTCTAGTTCTAGTCTACGTGTAATTATATCAGTTGCAGTACATGTACATACTGTGTAGTCATATTATTAACTACAATATCCAAACACTTTCCAAATACCCTTTTAAGCTAATGTATTCTGCTATGCTTGGTTGTGACTAGAGCACTAGTAATTATATTTCACAATGGTGTTGCCAAACAGAATCCCTTTCTCAACCACTCTCATGGTTATTTCCCTTGAACCAACGAAGTATGATGCTCTCAATTTGAATTGGTTGCTATGTGTATTTCTCAACCTTGGCTAACCAAAGCTATAAATACAGGTGCATTTTATGTTGAAGTAAGTTTACCGCACCCAGATGCGGAATGTACACCTTGCTGTTAATTGCCACTGCATTGCTCTGCAATATTGTTGCACTATACTGTGTGGAAATTGACAATAAATTGACTTTTGAATACTCTCACAGAGTTAACTTTTGTGTTTCCTTTGGAAGTTGCAGAAAATGATTTACATTGCTGACCATTTGTTGATTTGGCAAGCAATTAAATTAACAACAGTAATTGATCACTACAGTCTTTTTATTTCCTAACTGTTTCAAGACAACAACTGTATACCATATTCAAAAAAGCAAAGATAAACAAAACTGGCTTATCATCTTATATGCTGGACAGAATTTCTTCAGAACATATACCTACCTACAAGGATACTTAGAATCTTTTGTAAAAAAATTATTCACTCCTGTATCTTATATTAGCTTACCCATATTCTCCCAAATAAGTATAGGCCTTTACATTTTCAAAATAATTTTTCACCTTAATCCCAATGTCCAAGAAAATTCTTGTGATGAGATTTTACTGTACAAGGGGTTATACACGTTTTCGCGCGGAGGACTTGAAATGATCCGAACACGATCAGGGATTAAAAAAAATATTTTTCTCATGTACAATATTTCCAAGAGGCTAGGCATACACCTTCTCAATGTAATCACCACCAATTTGTAAGCACTTCTCAGCCCATTTGATCCAAATTGCTGAAACAGGCCCATTGAAAATTTGATATGCTCAGTTGTTAAATTTTCAAGCCTCCACATCGTAACAGCAGCAACAAGGTGATCCGCGCGGAAACGTATAACCCATCGTTTTCTTAGATCTTAAACTCATTTCTAGAACTTTTTGAAATATCAGGGTCCGTGTCATATTGGATCATGAAGGTCTTGATGTCTCCAGACCAAAAATCTTTCGCATAAAAATCAATATGCTCTTAATTCAATTTTTTTTCAATTTACAGTTCAGTGATGCTAGTTAGAATTTGGATTTCTGTGATGAGTTCAAGCTGGTGCCAGAAACATAATCAAAGTTAACGACAGGAAAGTTAATTCACTATCCACCTCTTTAACTTACTTGACTTTTATAACATGTCCACGTTTATTTAAGAGTTTTTGGTTCTAGTTTGGCGCATGCGCATAAATTTCTTTGCCCCTTTTATGACATGTAGGCTAGTAGTCGCCACATATATAAATTCCGGACATCGAAGCTTAACTTGAAAATGGCTAAACATATTGATATACTCTATATAGCGGGGCCCCGAGATGCGGACGTAATTGGCGCTTGGACATGGTCCTCATAACAAAGCGTCTGTTTTTTGGATTACATTCACCCATAGACTTCAGTGGGAACATATTTAATTCATTCTCTAGTATCACACATAATCAGATGTTTTGGCATTAAAAGGAGCACAAGAAGAAAAGAACAAAATCAAATACTGTATACCTATACTGTACTGTTCACAGCACATGATGAAAAAGCTTTGAAAATAGACGTATAATACAGTCGTGATACCCCCACATGCAGACACCTCAACGTGTGGACAATTTGACATAGGGACACTTACTTTCTCATAAAAATTAATGAAAAAGGCCTGAAATGAGGACACTGACTCAACATTGTTACAAAGTTGCAAATACATTTCAGGCCAAATTACAAGAAACAAATATTTCCAACCGTAAAATTGATGCAAGAAAAGTTCTTGGGCATTTCTCTCACCAATTTACATCCATGTAGCTCATTTAAAAAAATTACCTTCAGCAGAGAGGGGCTTTCTTCTCTCTTTTTCACTTGAACGTTAGTTTTACAGAGAATGCCAACATTTCTATATTTACTGTACAGAGGTATATTAGTATTCAATTCCCCAAATATCCATATTGTGTTGAAATATATTCATTGGAATCACTTTAAATTTGGAGACAATTTTTATTTTCATGGAAACATGATGAGTATTTTGTACATATAACACCAATTAAAATTATATAATGTAAGTCTAAGGGAAAATGAGACTCAACTTAGGGACAGTTTGACTTAGGGACATTCTTGATGCACCAATTATGTCTGCATCTTGGGGTCTCTACTGTACAATATTGGTTTGTTTTAAATATGAATAAATTGTACAGTGTAAAGAAGTTAATTTTTTATTTTTGCAAATATAAAAAGCTAAATCAGCTCAAAATATATCCAAATGTAGGCAAAATAAAAATTGTAAATGTTTCTAGAAATGTTGGAAACGTATCAGTATCTCCAGACGTTGTCCATATGCCGGGGACTCCTGCAGATTTTTTAGTTTCAAGTGTCCCCATGTCCTTCTGAATCGCAAGGCATCCGTATGTCGGGGTCCCAGTAGTATATGGACCCAGAAAGAATTAAAAATTGAGCTGTGAAATCGCGTCAGAAAAGGAATTGCCCCGCTACATATTGTATTGCATTTCCACTACGTATATGCTTGTGGAAATGCACATTACAAAAGTACTGTACTGTACGATTATACATACCTCTGTGAAAGGTCCTCTGACAGTGCATGATTCCCAAGTTATTACATACTCCGCAGAGTCAAACAGCCAAGGGAAGGCTTCCAAGTATTTATCCAACCCTCTGAGCACGTGGTTGTTCAAAATTCTGACAGTCGTTTTATTGCCAACGTCTTTGGCAAGGCTCGGAGTTGTTGGCGCATCATTGAATCTCACAACAGCATCATGAGAATCTGTTTGTTGAAATTTTTTTTTTTGAAAATGTGTTCACAAAATTACACAGATAAAAGATGGAAAATTTGGGACGCATTGCAGAGAAGCCTCTGTAATAAGTCAAATGTCTTAGACCAGAAAAGATTCAAAAGTTGCAAGTTGGGGAGGTTTTAACCCTTCTGCAGCAAAGTTTGGATATTGGGATGTTTTTGCAAAATGTTGTCCCCATGAGAACTGCAAATAAAATAAAAATTTATATATGATGTTTGACCCAAGGCCTAAGTCAGGAGAATGTCTGCTATTTTTTATAATCCTGCAGATAATTTTGGCTAAAAAAAAATTCCTCACTGGGTGGTGGTTTTTTTTCATGCATTCCCAGCATAAAATTAATATTGAGGATTTCTTGAGACAGTGGGATTCTTTTTCCCAGATATTTCCTGACTTGGGCCTTGGCAAACTGGGAGTATTTCAGTGACCTTTGGTCAAACAGAAATGCCCCATCCCCCCAAAAAATCCCATCTCCATTGAAGAATGGCCAGAAACCCTCTGCCATCCAAGGATTAAGTTAAAGGAGAAGCATTTTTGTTGCAGGAAACACGGAGGAATTGCAATACAAATTGTAAATGATGATATTCTGGGCTTTAACCCTGGGATGGCCAAGGGTTCATTTCCATTGTGAGGCAAACTTGTGATATTTTTGGGAGGTGGAGCATTTCAGTTTGACCCAAGGTTGCCGAAATACTCAAAGGTTGAGAAGGCCTAAGTTGGGAAAAAACCCAGGAGTCAAATTCTCTTTTGTTTTCAGGAATCTTCCATGCTGATCCTATTTCAGGAATGCACAAAAAATGCAACCCAGTGAGGGACTTTTTTTCTTCTTTTTTATCAAACATTTTCTCTGGGATTAGAAAAAAATGTTGCACTTTTTCTTGACATAGGTCTTTGTACAAAAGTTGTATATTTTTAAATTTCCAGTTCTCAGTGACACAAAATTTTTCAAAAATATACCAACTTTGCCGCACAAGGGTTAAATTGCTTCTTATATGAGTTGACAGGATGCTGAATTTTGAGTCAGGGGTTCATTTGCCCAGTTAGTCTTTCCCTTCCTTTCAAAACACATAAAGTTACTTGTTCATTGCTTTCCTCTTTCCTGTTTCAACAAACATAATTGCTAAAAGAATTTCAAAAATGCATTCGAGTTAACGTGGTTTGAGAGGAAAACCCATCCTATTAAGACAGGTTTTTAATTGTTTCCTATCGGGAATATTTCAGACAGGGAATTGAAACAATAATCGACTTATAGCCAGGTATTTGGCTCAAGGAAGTTCCAGTCCATACTGAGGTTCAACAATACTAGCCTATAAATTCCCCCAGATTCGAGTCAAGCAACCCGCCGGAACTCGCCACAATAGCGCAGGAATTGAACCTAACCCCGTCGGGAAACATAGGGCTGTTTTCGGGGATCCGGAAAACTGGATTCATTTCCGGCATCAGCTTGGATTTGTTTCCGTCCACCAGCATGTCCGAAGAAACCCCGGAGTTTTGCCTTGCCTCAATGCTGAGTAAGGTTGAAAGCAATTCTCTACCCGTGAAAAATCTGGCATTTTTCGGAATAAGTGGCTGCTTAACGTCGACGATATTTGATGGTGCATCATTTCCGTTTTTCAATAAGTTTGCTGCGTAGACAATTAAAGAAAACATTCAAAAAATAATAATTCATCGTCATTGGAAAACTGGTGGCAAATGCGATGAAATTCCGACGTACGGTTATAAAATCATTTTATTTATTTTTACTTGAGGTTTTACAAAAAAAAAGTCACTCGAAAAATGCTGAATGAATGCAATACAATTCTTGAGTAAATCGTGAATAATTTAGGACATCTATAAATCTTTTAAAAAATGCGTTCCAGAGTGAATTTCTTGAAACCGATTCTAAATTTCTTTTTATATGCATAATTTTGTTATCAACACATTCTGTGTTTACGCAAGTACCATGTACATCTTTTCCACAAAAAATATTCGGGGCAAAAGGTGATGTTTGTGTCGCCTTTGTGGAAATTTGAAATGGATAAACCTGTGCTACATAGTGAAAAGTCAGGTGATTGACCAAAAAAAAAAAAACTAGCGATGAATCGGCGAGTAATAATTTTAAAATGTGCGCCAAATAAATTTGATTCGGGAAACCGGGCGTAAAAATTAATTCAGGAATTAAGGCGCCTATCATGGACAAGTTCAACCATTATATACGATTTTAAATGTGTGCTTTACTCTAGTACAGTGCGTTATTTTATCTCTTTAAATAGAGACATTTATTGTAACATGCGAGTGCTTATTTTAAGCCGCGAAGTGCGATTTACGTATTTGAACACCTGGTATAACACATTTCAGGGCGGATAACATTCAGGAAGATTCAAGATATACGTTGTAAGTACTTTTTTTTTTTTACTTCAAAGGTGAAAAAAACTTTAAAATTTTTTGCGATTTTCCGACGATTCCGAGCTTATGGTATGGCCATTTTTATTTATTTCCCGCAGCGATCGCATATAATCGGTTATTTTCATCATTTTATCACTGAATTTTCGCTGGAATCAGAATCATGTGCAATGGCAGATTATAATACATTTATTGAAATGCAAACTAAGTTATCGATTAGTAAAATTGATCAAGTACTGTATATATAGGAAAAATTGTTAAATCGGGAATAAAAAGCCACTCACACGTGTCGTCATTCGATGCGTCATATTTCAGTCGTGTTTCAACTCCACGAAAGGCACAAGCGGCCACTGTAACAAACGAAACATTCATAAAATATATCTTGATCATTCATACTTTCGTAAAGTCTCGTTTGATTCATATTTACCCTATTCTCATGGGATGTCCATGATTTCAAAATTATTTCGACCGACTTCCAGTATACAGTACAGTAAAATACTAATCATGCAGCTATTCTACACGGAATATGTCGAAATGATACCTTCCAGACTAACAAATCCTATCATTTCCATATTGCAAAGTTCGTGACACGACGAGTTGGTGTGAAATCGTAAATACCTTCTCCCGAGTCCCGAATGAATCAAATATAAACAAAAAATGCTGGAAATGTGCTTATTCCAATTGATTAACGGGTTTCTTTGCCTTCTGGGTAATCGATACAACGGACTTGATTCAAGCAGGTTTGCGGATACGTATGCATTTTCTAAAAAGCTTGAGAAATGTATTGAATCACTGTATTCCTGACATGCACGCAGATCCAATAGGTTTAAACGCAGAGGTATTTATGATCCAAAAGAAAGCCAATTTAGGTAAACTTAAATCCCACACAGAGAGATACACCAGTTAATTTGTTTCCTATACAGGTGGTACCTTCCAATTTGACCCTAATCTGTTGCCAAACTAGGGTTGAATTGCAAATTGATCAATGGGAGACACTCTGTCAAATTTTAAATATGAGTACAAAAATGCAAAAAAAATTGAAAAAGCAGGTCAAATTGCGGGACAAGGGTCAAATTGCAGGACAGTCAAATTGTGGGAGGTTGAATTGCAAGGTACCACCTGTAATCGAATAAAAATTTCCTGGCACTCATTTTGGGTGTAAATAATTGGAGAAAAATACGCTAGATATAACATAATTAATTGCCCTCCAGTAAAACATGCACCCCAATTTTCCACCCAAAAATTTTGGGTACTTTCCTGCTATCTTGGTAACCATTTTTCTTTGTCTCGTGAATTCAGTATTTGTTAGGTTAGGTTAGGTCAAGTTATATTAATTGAAAGATATTTGTAACTAACGTAACCTGACCTAACTTGACTTTACCTAACCACCTCCCAAAATCAGTTTCAGCAGAATGCAAAAAAAAAATGAAATTCAGTTTCTGGTATAGGTGCACAGAAAGCAGGTACTGAGATAACAGGAAAGTACCAAATTTTGATGAAATCCTAACCCAATAAGTTAGATGGGCACCCCTTTTTCAGTGAATGAAAAATTAAAATATTTCAAAAAATAACAGGCACTGGAGTACAAATTGTAACATGAATTCAACCTGAATTAAATTAATTTTCAATTGCTGTGATTTAAAAAAAGTTTGAATGACAAGCATTTCCCATTGCATTCAAGTATGACATGCATCTAAATTTCCATTTGTTGGCAAATTTCATCCCCACACCTATGACATGCCCTCCATTTTCCCCTCTCAATTTTGAGAAAAAAAGATGAGGATGGTATACAGGTGCTTGGTACCTCACAATTCATCATTGTGCAATCCAACCATCCCACAATTCAATGGTCAAATTTTCTGGGAGGTTTACTTGCAATTCAACCTCTGCCCCAGAATTCAAATGCTTTGATCACTTTTTTTAATTTTTGTGCTGATATTTCTCAATTTTACAAAGTGTCTTGCAATTTGACTGCTTTGCAATTTTACTGATTTGAAAATGCAACCCTAGTCCAGCAAAGGATTATAGGGTCAAATTATGCAAGGTACCACTTGTACACCCAAGTGAATTTTCCATCTATCTTATATACAATTTAAAACAGGCCACAATTTCAATCAACACTCACCAACCAGAAATACACACAGGCAGAGTATGAATCCCTTGGATATTTTCCACCAAAACCTAAACCTTCGCATGACGTGGAATGGCCATGACCACACAGAGCCCATGAACCCCCATTCGCACCAGCTGCGCGATGAACTCCATCCCTGCTGCACCGGTCTGATGCTGCTGCAGGGCATCCCGCTCAAATCAGGCTATATATACACTTCCGCTCCTGCTGATGATGATTTGATGGTAATGTTCGATGTCAATGAGGATTACGATCAATCAATCAATCGCACTCGTGTACACAGTCGCTAGAACATTCGCGAATGCTCCCAGCTGCAGTGATTTCACAGCGCGGAGATGATGAACCTGAGCAAGGCCGCGATTCACCTTCACGACCTGTTTCATGGTTCACATATATGAGAGATAACACGGGACGGGAGTGACGTCGAAAGAAGCGGGGGAAAAAAAAGAAAATTGAGAGCGGATGTTAAGGAATATCGGAGATATGAGAGGAGGAAATAAATAGAAGGATAACGGAAATTTTTGTTACAACTGAAATGCTGCTGGGATATACAACTGATATGGAGGTGCATTCGATCCTGATTATGTCGTGTACGATTTTATTCCGTTTGCATCCTTGGTCTACAATCTCTACATCAAGTTTATCAAGCCCTTTGACGAAATTGAGATAGGCAGGAAGCGTGTTTTTTTTACTGCTTCAGTCAAACCTCTTCAAAGCAAACTTCACAATATGGGACCTGATAACAAATTCGAGTTTGAGAGGTTTTAAGTTGAATATAAAAATTTTTTTTGAATGAATGAATGAATGAACAGAACACTCCAAGTGCCGCTTTTCAGCGTTCACAAGGTTCAATCAAGATTTCCACAACCAAACCCCCTTCCCACCCAATTTGCCTATTTATTGCCTGGTGGGCCTACTGCTGCAGCATCAATAGCACCTTCCTTAATCTGGCCCGGAGTCCAGCAGCAGATTATGGCTGAATTGTTGGGCACCCACCAGTATTCTGGGCCATAAATTTCTCATGAATGACTTGATACTGGGATGCTAAAGTTGAAGGCAAGGGTTTCTTTGCCCAATTAGTCTTTCACTTCCTTTAGAACCTGTTGTTACATTTTCATCACTTTTCTCTTTCCTGTGTCAGTAAAATAATTGCCAAAATGTTTACTAACTGTATACTGTAACCCAGAAACCAAATTGCGATTATTTTCTTTTCTCCTTATATAGGAAGAGATCTTTCTCAACAAGGTATCCATTTCCTTGCAGCTGTTCCCCCTTTTGTTTTGGTTCCCCTTCTCTCATGTCAGCCTGCATTAATGCGTGATGGTCGTTATTGTGTGTTTCTCCTTTTCAACTTGCTATTTGTCAACAGTGACAAACAACCAGCACTGCCTTCTTCTAAACTGCCAATTTAGAAGAAGCCTATTCTGTTGAATTTGCAAGTGTATATATGTTATTTATATTTATAATATATATCCAGATATATATATTCATCAAGTGTTCAGGGAACCCACAGTTCCTCAATCTAGGCAAATATTCTGCCTCTATATTTTATGTTTCCAAGAAGGTATAAATATACCTTCCTTCCCACATATTTCTTCAGAATTAATCTAGAGTCATTTGCGGTTATTTCTCAGAGAGACTTGCAGAAAGTTTTAGGAAGACTCTCTTAAAAGCTCTCTATTTTTATGTTTGTGTGATTGTAAGAATATTTGTGAACTGAATATATTTGAAGTATATATTCTATTGGACTTGTATATATTTATTTTACCTTGGTCAATGGACAACAATACAGTACAGTATATGGAGGTTCATTGGAGAAAGCTTCAAGTCAGGGAGGTTTTTGATGCATTTTTCCATGGGAATTTCAACAGGGATTAAAATTTCAAATATGGAAGCACAGTATTTGACTCAGGGGGATTCAAGTTATCCAGGTTCTACTGAATTTATTTTCATTTGTTTTTTTTTTCTAAAAGATTTGTATCCAACCTAACCTGAGGGTGGGAAGTCAAGTGTGTTTCACTGCAACAAATTTCATTGCTAAATTTGTCAGCCTGTCCATTTGACCATCATCTGAAAATTGTCAGGAACCACTGTACAGTACAGGTGGTACCTTTTAATTTGACCTCCCACGATTCAACCATCCAGAAATTTGATGGAAACATTGCATGGAGGTTGACTTGTGATTCAACCTGCTTTGGCCACTTTTTTTTACGTTTTTGCATAGATATTTTTAAAATTTCACCAAGTGTCTTACAATTGGACCCTATAGTTCAGCAACTGATGAGGGATGAATTGCAAGGTACCACCTGTATCATTCATGATGACTGCCATAACAATTCATAAGAATATCATGTAATAATAAAAAAATAAATTATGCAAATAGTGAATGAAATAAATCCACATCAATTAATCACAGACCGTAGAAACCAAATAGCCAATGAAATAAAGTTTCAAGAAAATTTCTACACACAGCACCAAAATAGCTTCACCCTTGCTCGTTGCCAAGAAATGATTACGGCCAGATTGTGGCCCAAACTTCTAGAGAAATTGCATATATGCTATGCTCAAAGTTTCGTACAGTGAAGTAAAATTGAAACTGATACAACGTCTGAAGGGCATAACGTTGTCCCACTAACTGAAGCAAGACGCGTCTTATAATTCTCAGGTTGACTGCTCAGCAACCAACCTTCTTCAGTCAATGCAGCAAACCATGAAAATCATCCTGTCTTGAAAAATCCATTCATCCCTCACTTCCTTCATCCACATCGATCTCCAGCTTGCTTGTATTTTCTCATTGCTCTTTCTACTCTATTGTATCGTCGTTGACCATAAAAAAAAAATTATGTGCGTGACTCGCTTTGAGAAATCGTGACCGTTCTCATCAGGTTCATCTCCCTGGGGCAAAAAGTAGCAGAATGTCGGTGAGATCATCTGGTCAGTGTGTCTTCCTGCTTGCGATGATCATCTTTTTCCATACATATGATACAACTTTAATGTAATAGGAAAAATATCAGTGGCAAAAACCCAGGCCTTGGGTGTTGTTTTCGAGGAAAAAGCTTTTTAAAAATTGGAATTTGACCTTTGCTATGGGAAAAAACAAAAATTGTTTTTGTTTTCATTGGAAGTGATCAGAATCATCGAATTTTTTAATTTTACCAGATTTAGATAAGATCTAGCTAAAATAACGCGAATATTTTAAATTTTACAGCTGGGATGCTGTCAAATGTTCAGCCTCCAGCTGAGACATGGGTGGAGAACTGTGGAGGGGAGTCAGAAGTTTTCACTTATCATATCATAATGCACAGTAAATTAATATGTTATTGTAAAAATCTGAAAATTATCCGAAAACCTTAGATTGCTGAGAGCATCATGGACTATATGATAATTTTGTTTTCACAGTCAAGAAATACCCAAGGTTGCCCCGAAGTGGGACAACCCGACCAAAAAAAAATTATTGTGGACGATAACCTCTGTGATCTGTGTATGTATAAAGAGACGACCCCCTATGGATCCCCAAAAAAATCGTTATACAGTCCAGAAAAATTTTTTTGGCAAGATTATTTCAGAGAGTCCATCTCACTACCTGTATATGATCAATTCGATATCTTGAGAGTAATGGATGATTTAAGGATGATTACGTTCATAAATTATTTTCGAAACATTCCATACCATTGTACCCTTCACTTTCAACAGAATTGAAAAACGTTCTTAGACAAAATCAGACATGAGTCAACGATGATGTGCATTGTGCTGCATTTTGGCTGCATTCTGCCCAGAAGAGCAGGGCGAGTCGCATGCACGCAATATTGAGACTCATCAGCGTGATGGCGAAAACTTCTGATGTTAAGCGACACCTAGATGAATAAAAATAAAATAATATCTAGAGTTCTTAATTCTTGGGCGAGGAGTACGCTATTCGTGCGGGACTTTATGCAGCACACGAATTGCGGATTGCTGCTGCTGTCGGCAGCGTATAGCCATCAAGCATGGCCATTGATACAAAACGCGCAAGATCGGATTGACTCCGCCTGAATGCAAACTGAATCGCTAACAGCAGAGGAAAAGAAAATCCGGGAGTGCAAGTTTATCGCTTTTTTATCTGCGCCAGCAATCCCAGCCATATGTCATCTGTGCTGGTTTCACGTGCGTCATACATATTGCATACAGTATACTTCTTCTATATAGTGAATCACTTCCCCGAATAGTATGTCAGGTATACGCGGGGTACACCTAATACCGAGGTTTGCTGAATCAGAATTTGTGAGACCTACCGAAGCATACATATAATCAAAAGAGTTTTTTGGGCCAAGCATTTATGAAATCTCTCTTGGAATTTAAAACAGATAATGAGATAACTATCATAAAATCTTATTATATACATGTTTGGTCTATGAAATTTGCCTTATCAAAACAATAAATTCTCGGAAAACTTCGGGAATAGAGATGAAATAAAGACGTCTTTTGGAATAGGAGGTGTGAGGTCAGATACTATGAGTCATCCCAAAAACGCGTGTAAGACGTATTGGCATCACGAAGAGTTTTTTCATTCAAATTCTTGATTGTAATGCAGTACAGTACAATTATCCTGGTGCTTGAGTTTTTTCTTCATTTTCAACACCAGGAGAAATTTTCAAATATAAGAATCGGTGTAAGAAACCTATCTATTGTAACTAACATTGGCTAATTTCAAGAACCATTCATGGTATGCAATACTTGTGCTGGAATGATTGAAATTTACTTATCCTACATATTTCTTTGAGTCATTGCTCACCAGCAGTTATTGCTCGGAGCATATTGGTACAGAACCCGTTAATATAGAATCATTCATCACTTTTCATTTTTCACTTCCAGCAGCAGTCGAGGATTGGCCGGTAAGGCGGTACGTGCGCTGTTGAGCGACACCTAGATAATTTAAGGACGTACTAAATTCGAAGCTCTTTGTTTTCACGCGAGGAGAACGCTACTAGCGCCAACTCCCACGCACACAGATGACTTGCTGGCCGCGTATAGGCAGAACAATTGATATGAAACCTTCACGACTCCGATCGACAGACAGGGATGAGAAAACGTAGAATGGTGCCCGGGTGATTGCCAAAGGAAAGAAGAAAAAGAAAGAGAGAACGAGGGACACGACTCAGCTTTTTCCAAATAAGGTTGCGAGAGTGATGTGCGTCATCCAGTGTGGCGACCTTTCTCTCTCGACTCTCCCTTCCTTCATTCGGTTGAACTGTGCTGGTACAAGGTGCCTTCAATAAAATTTTAGAATAATCACGACGCTGCTCTTTCGGAGATTTCCCAGCCACATTTCACCGAACTGCTGATTTAATGTGTGGACCCCATTGAGGGATGACATGAACTAATGCATATTAAGTGGCCCAGCGTGAAAAAAACTTAATTACTGTATTCAAGCACTCGAATTTAAAACTGTAATTACCTGTAGATTTCCAGATTTCCGTATTTATTCGAGTACCAGGCGCACTCTTTTTCTCAGAAGTGAGATAAAAAAAGGCGGTGTGCGTCATAGATAGGTACTGCATGCATTTTAAAAAGTTTGAGATTTATTTTAAGTATGCATTATTTTTCATTCTATTGTAAAATTTTGGACCAATTTCAATTGAAAAATTACTGTAATGGAAATAATGGAAAGTTAGCTGAATTCAGGTCCAAATAGTGCTTACATCCATATTTGGGTGTTATCATTCATGGTAGTACTGTATCAAAACCCTCAAAAAAGTTCCTTGCCTTAGTAATAAAGATCTTTTAACCAGAAAAGCCAATCCATTCCATTTATTTTCAAAATGCTCTTTGTAAAGCCCTGAATTAATAATGTGACAAAATGTAACAAGGAATAATGCAACATATTGTAGATTAACAGCAGCATAAAATGTAAGGGCACGAAAAATTATGCTTCCAATTATAAAATACTGTACTGTATAGTAAAAAGCTGGCACCAACTTGGGAAAGGATTATGGCAGTCAAATTACAAAAATAATATTTAATTTCTTAATACTCTTCTTCTTCAGTGGAGAATTAAGGTATATGTTGTCTATTGTGTGTATATATTCCCATGTCTAAAAGCAATTGCGAATGTCTTCATTTTTAAAATTACCCTCTTGCAGTTTTATGCGAGATTATTAATCGTATTTATTTTTTTGTGCGACAAACCTGTATACACTCATGGTCGGAGTTGCGGCAGGTATCCGCTTATGGGCTTGTCTTCGTGGGCTCGGTTGAGTTGCTGTCGACTGCTGGCTCTGAACTGTTCTTGGACCTTTCCAGAATAAATCCCCTTTCATTTTAAAAGAGGGAAAAATTTTCCGAAGTCTCGGTTGTATTGAGCTATTTGTCCCCTTTATTTGCGGAAAATAAGCAACCTCACGCGGAAGTGAATTCGGTCAAGTTTCACTTTCATCGGGCAGCTCCAAAAAAAAAATATTTCCGCCGCGGTCTGCGCCTGTCTACTATCATGAAAGAATTTGCTAGCTTGCAATGAAAGTTTCTTATTTCTTGAATTTTTTTTTTTACGACATAAACAGTGACAGCGTACCCGGGAGAATCGGTTTCATTCATGGCTATTTATTTTGGCGAATTTCTCGCGAAAATCGTGTTTTTGTGCGACATATGTGTGCGGCATTTCCGCGATGCATCTTGGATGCTTTACAGCATGCGAATCACTCATCCGTGATTTCAAAAACATTGTGTGAATTATTATTTTCATTGAAGTTACCTGAAAACTAAAAGTATGTCGCTAAAAAAGATGAATCCAGCCTTATTTCGAATATGAAAAGTTTGGCCATTTTTAAATGCGTGTATGCTGATGCGTTGTATTTTGAAATGTTTGATATTAAATGAGATTCAGAAGTCAAATCCTGAATATCATTGAACAATGAAGGCACAATATATGCAACAAATTATGCAGAATTATAAGTTTTTTGTATTGATGAGCTTCCTAAATTTTCGACGAATCCTGTTCTCGAGTTACTTTTTTTGAAAGTGGAACCTACGAAAATGCATCTCAAGACGAGTCATTTATGTGATTCAAGTAAAGGCTTGGAATTCAATCAGGTTCTTGATACACACCCAAAATCTCGATTATATACATTTTAAAATTACAGTTTATTTATACATTTTGGTGTGTGCAACCGAATCAAATAGGACTGCGAGCATTACTTTCAAGCTGCTCATCATAGTTTCTCAAGAAAAATAGCTCTTCAAATAAATGAATAACTTTGTTTCACAGTTTTTCATACCTGTATAGCTGTTTAAAATGTGGAAAAGCACTGTAGTTGTTGAAAATCTTTGACTAAGAATCATTTATAGCGAGATGATCTCCAGTTCCTTTCTCCCGCCAGATATTTGTATGTATTCATCTTGTTAAAGTCTTTGCCTGCCAATGTCATCAGTTCAAATCTGTTTGCCGAAAACGGGTGCATTGTATGAGAGTGCGACGAAATGATTTACAAAAGCCACTTTTTTATAAATAAAGAAGGAAAGGTAAGCGCATTTAACCGTCGTCGAAAATTCCTGCCCTTCATATATCCAGCAAGTGAAGCGATTCCTTATTGCTTTTAGCTGGCGATGAATCAGGAAGTGCGTATATATATACTGTATACAGCAAGTGCGTGGGATTTTTCTCTTTTTTTTTGTGTGATTAATTTCCGTGATTACCATTGATAATATAAGTTGTTGGCTTTTTATAATCATTTGATTTGAGAAGGAAACGAATGTGAAGTGCTTTCTTTTTTTTAGTGCCTTCGAACAGAGCTGAGCGAATTTTATTTATTCATTTATTTATATATTTTTTTCAGGGCGGACGCGAAACATGAAGGCGCTGATTTGCCTCGCGTTTTTCTTCGTTGCTGTTCATGGCGGCGCCATCAGATACGAGGAAACGATTGAGCAAAAATACCGCCCAGGTGAGCAGCATATAGTGCTCTACAATCTAGATTATATATCATAGAATGCAGTACTGTGCAGATACGTACGGTATATCGTGTAAAATATTTTACAGACAGCCTTGTGCAAGTGGTGTTCGTTTCTTATTATTGCAAGAGGATAAGGAGTAGCCTTGAGAAACGAGGGGATTTTGCTTGCGTAAAAGGCGTGCGCGAGGAAAATAATAAAGGTGGATTTCTGCAAAAAAGTCGTGCTGAATATATAGGTCACGTAAAAAGTGCCATAAAAGCGAAGGAAATCCTAAATTTTCTGAATTTTTCAAGAACCTTTTGTCGATTAATGGAATGTCTTACTCATATAGTGTCCCTGCTTGTGCCCTTGATAAACGCGAGGAAAAATTACTGTGCGTTGTGTGACATGCATTTTTTCCATTCAATTTTGTTTGGATTTAAATTTCGAAATAAATACGGCAATTAAATTTATTAAATGTGGCGCGATTTTCGATTTTAAAAAATGACTTCGCTTAAGTTTTTTTAACTTTCTGAATACGGTTTCTTCGTTGGAAAAATAGGTGTTTTTGGGAGACTTAGACAAGTTGTCATTAATTTACATCTTGAGGATTTCACCTGTGATGAGATGCAAAAAAAAGGAAGAAATTCGAAGGCTTTATATGCAAGAAGAAAGAATTCTATAACCAATTCGCGTGGGCCCTATAATTATAAGAAGTGTGACATTCTGTGGTTATGAACAGTATTTCCCAATTATGCTTGAATAATTTAACTGGTTGATTATACATATATATATATATGGAGGTGCCATCAATCAAATTTTCATTTATTGCATCTCATCTTAATCTGTTAATTTCGTGTCGTATAATCATTTGTTGAATAAGAGGGGTCGCGTATGTAAATCCCATGTATATATATGTATACTTTTGATAATAATTTGTTGGACGTGATGTCATCGCATAATACTTGAGGAAATTTCAATTTGATACGGAATTTTTCTCTTTTTTATATTTCGCAGTGATGGTGCCAGTGTCTTCCACGGTGATTCCATTGGATGACTTGCCTGTCTACAAGATTGGCTTTGGTTTCGGCTTCAATCCAGAACAATTTGATAAGACTGTGTTGAAGAAGGGAACGGAGAAAAAGAAGCTGGATTTGATAACCGCTCAGAATAAGAAAAAAGATCAACAGAAAAATAAGACAAAGAGTGATCCCAAATCGGCCTCTGTTGAATTCGGAGTCAAAGTTTCGAAAATCTCTGAAGCAGATTTCAAAAAGTTCAACTGAGTGCTGATGAGTATTGCTGACATTAATTTTTAGGAGAAGTATAGAGATGATAACTTCCTTACACCAGTTTGATAAAGTTGACTTGAAATGCTTCAGAAAATTATATGCTGATCTTATAAAATCTTCGTTTTGCATGGATAAAGCTCATTTGTTATTTTCCTCAACATTTGTATTGGCTTTTTTTCTTATCATGAGTACCGAGAATGACTATAATCATGAGCTGTGATTGTGAGTCGGTCTGATGATCATGTGCTGCGATTTACAATACAATTCCTAACATTTTTAGAAAACCGTGTTGTGTTTCATTTCTGGGAAACTGTTCAAAATGGCAAATTCTTCAAATTATTTTTTAGGGAAAAGCGCAACCCACTGACGTCCATAAGCGTCCAATTCAGCCCTCATGAACCGGAAATGGCGTTTATATGTATTTGAAGCAAAGAGCAACCAGCATTTATAAGTGTTCTCGTCGCTAGTATACAGCCACTGAGTTCGTCTAGTGCTTCAGAACAGTGCGTGGAGATATAAAAAGTGAGCCAGAAATGTCGTTCCGACTTCACAGTACTGCGCTTCTTTCGACAAACTAAATGGTAGAAGCATTCTATTCACTTCGTGATTTTAGCAGAAAATAAATAGATCACAAAAAATCCCGTAAAAATGATTTCATGTGGAGCAAAGAAGGCCTCGCTTACCGATAGAAGGCGCTGCTGACGTTTCGGCCGATGTACATCCATGGCCAAGCCAATGAAGGAATTCCGGATTTTCCTGGCTCAAGAACTATCGGAAGTTATTTGTCGGCATCGCGATGTCGATGATTTAACGAATGGGTGTATGAACTGGTGAACTCGACGTGAAAAGCATGTTTTAGTATGATAACTGAAACAATGGTCTCTGCCTACCACGTTCGATTCATTTCATTGTTAAAAATTTGTCTATCGGACGATAGCGCTTTCATGCGGGGTGAGTCCGTCCGCTCATTTGTTTGCAACGTTCCGTCGTGAAATGCGCTGAGCTGATCAAGCATAAGTGTTCGAAGCTTCTTCATGTAAACATATTGTATTTTTCTCCACACGTCGTGTGACTTCTGTCGTTGTTACAGTCGAGTGAGTCATGGAAAAAGCTGCTACTTCCGGTGCCGGCGATAATAAACCCCTAGCCATCACGTTGTCTTGCCGCGAACAATTGAAGAATGTCCGAGATTCTTCGGGAATATGTGATGCTTTCAAAGTTAAATACAAGGAGAATCCGGAATTTCTTGTCCACGCTCCTGGAAGGTATGTCTGAGCTAGTTACTCATTGGTTCGGTTGAACAACTGTGGTGATTGATTAACTCATTGGGAGTTCGGGATGGATTGGTATGGTGTTCGAATGTGCTGAATGGTGAAGAATTCCACTGGGATCCTTTATCTCGTGAATTCTGCTTCCTGAGATTCATTGATACTGTAATATTGGTTTTCCTAGTATTCGCTGTCGCGTTCGATTCAACCTGTTCTATTTAATTCAGAGTGAACATCGTCGGTGAACATATTGACTACTGTGGATATGCTGTCTTCCCTATGGCGTTGGAGCAAGGTATTCTGATAGCGGCAAGTAAAGGGAAAGATGATCTGATACATCTTGCGAACATAGACGAAGCGAAGTATTTGGAGTGCGCTCCATTCGGTCTTTCGGAAATTCGGTTAGATTTCCATTAGCTCACTTCTACCAGCCGGATTTGTGTGATTTACCTTGTTCTTCCCCACAATCGTAGGTCGTGGACGCGGGGAGACGCGTCACCGAAATGGCAGGATTACGTCAAGTGTGGATTTCGAGGAATCATGAATCTAGAGCACGAAGGTGTGGCAACTTCGGGGTTTAAGATCATGGTCGGAGGGAATTTACCTGCCGCTGCAGGCGTGTCGTCTTCTTCTGCTTTGGTGATAGCCTCGGCATTACTCGGCTGCGTTTCGTGGAACGTGCAAATTTCACGAACAACCATTGCTGAAGTTTGTGCGAAAACTGAGCGATACGTAGGCACTGAAGGCGGTGGAATGGACCAAGCTATTTCAGTTTTGGCTGAAAAGGGAAATGCGATGCTGGTTGAATTTAATCCGTTGCGGTCGATTGCGGTTCGGTTGCCGGGTGATGCGATATTTGTGGTTTGTAATTCTATGGTGACAATGGAGAAAGCTGCGACTGTGCAGTTTAATACTCGCGTGGCGGAGTGTCGCCTTGCATGTCAGGTGAGGCGTCAATTTTGAAGCTCAGGCGTTTTTACGTAATCTGTATATTCAGCAGGGCTGTTGCAGAAATCCACCTATTTTATTTTGCACGCGTTGACTGTATGAGGATAATTTCCGTATTTCACTTTTGAAAACGAATGTTCGTGATTATAAGGTCCTTCGATTTCCTCTGATCAGAAAGGGTTGATTGTGTCTATTCGTTCCTGTATCAAAATAGTATTTAAAGCTGTAGAAAGAATCGTCGAAAATTTTCTTCGAATTTCATCTGCGGGAAGAAGTTTAATAAAGACTTAGAATTTGCTGATATTAATTTGGTTATGCCTAATTTGATGCTAAAAATAGAATTTACCCAAATAACGCGAGGAATTCCGGAAAAGCTTTCTACTGCTGCCTATTTGGTTCACCGCCATCATTTTGCTTTACTGTATGCTACGTTCTCAATGTGAGGCATAAATAACATCTCAGTATGGTGAGAATTTTGAGATACAAATGCTTCTCTGACAAGGATTAGTCCAATATGTCGAATCGTGCGTAAGTTTTGGCGATTATTGTGAACCACAGCTGTGTAAATTTCAGAAGCGGAGATTTTCTGGGCGAGTTGACGAGTACAAAAGTGTACACTTTTCCGTAATTCATGATTTTGGTCGAAATTCTCAGATTCTTGCCAAACGCGTCGGACTGGACTGGAAAACGGTCAAGGTTTTGAAAAACCTGCAGTCTCAGCTTGGAAAATCGCTTGCTGAGATGATCCAATTGGTGCAATATCATCTGAAGGAAAGTCCTCACACTTTGGCTGAGGTAATTCAATATTAAATTGCTAGAATTCTAAATTTTCTGTAAAATTTTCCCCTTCCAGATTTGTGATATTTTGGGAACTACCCCGGAAGTGTTGAAAGCTGAGAGTCTCAACAAGCAGTGCGCAGGCGTCAATGAGTTCAAATTATTTCAGAGGGCTACTCATGTTTTCGAGGGTAATATTAAGCTTTCTTGAACTATATTTTAATATCGTTTTTGAAAATTTTCCGATTCTCAGTCAGCGTTAACCCGAGTGATGGTCGAGAGACGGAAACGAGTACAGTATTTGTGTTGGAGGTTTTTGAATAGCTTCATGCCATCGAACATTTTTGTTGATTTTGTTCCGTAGAAGCTGGCCGTGTCTTGGAATTCCGAAGAATTTGCGAATGTGAGGATTCTAGTGTCGAGACTCTTGTTACGCTTGGTACGTTGATGAACGAGAGTCACGTTTCGTGCCGAGATTTGTATCAGTGCTCCCACGAAAAGCTGGATAAGCTTCAGGATGTGGCTTCGAAAATTGCTTTCGGTGCGCGATTAACCGGAGCAGGGTAAGTTGCTTTCCGGATGCAATTACGTCAATAACTGCATTCAAGCGAAGGATTTTAGAGTAATTTTGGATTCTCACGCATAATGTTTTATTTTGTATTGTAAAAATAATGTGCACTGGCTGATATGACTACTCTGAAAGTATGCTTAGTACATTTCTCGCAAAATTACTTGCAATGAAAAAATTCAAGAAAAATTTCTAAATGTTCGCTAAGTATTGTTTTTTTTTCGAACACACTATTATTCAAAAGATTTGTGCTAAAATTGTGATGGAGTCTCTAAAAAATTATCTGATTTATTGTAGCAAATGTCATTGCAACTCGGATTCATCCGCCTATTCCTTCAGCTAGGCGACTGTGTCTCGGAATTCGAGTGTGTTAGGTCGACGTCACCGCGTTATTATCCCTCGTTCATGGCATATTTGGAAAAATGAGCAAGGAAAGAATGGCAGCGATTTTCCTCGCGATGAATACCTTCTATTTATTTTTTGTTCAAGCTGGGGCGGATGTTTGGTTGCACTCGTTCCTCGTGAGAAACTTGACGAATTCCGTTCGACGTTGGAAACGGACTACTACGAGAAATTGAAAGGTTTGAGGAATGGCCGCTCGATGGACGAGCTTGTTTTTACTACTGCACCGGCTGAAGGTGCTATGGCATATCACATTCAGGGACAAGGCGTTTGATCGCCTTTTTATTTATTTAAATATTTGAAGCAGCTCTTCGACGCACATCCTTGGAACGACGTGTGTTGTGATACTGTAATGATAATCTTTGTGATGGGGGTGAAAACTGTGCTGTGACCTGTAATTGAATTTTAAGCACTGGTGCAATAGAATTTTATCACTGATTCTTAAGAGTGATTTTGAAGTGTTGGACTTCGCGATTTGGATTGGGTTGAGAAGCCTCGTCTGAATTGATCAATTATTCAACTTTAAAATATGACCAGTGTTTTTCGAATTTCGGGCAGCACGAATTTTGAAGTGTTTAAGAAAATATATTTTCTCATTTCCAATGTGACCCATACTCGGCGTTTTTTTTCCTGCGTTATACAGGAAGATGAGTATTCGACATGTTTTCGTAAGTCGCACCAATAAAGCGTGAGTGTCAAAAGAGCAGCACATGTATCGATAGCCTAATTCAACCAAAAATCCCGAAATTTCTTGTTTTCATAGTTGCGCGTGTCGTTCTGGCCCCTCTAATGCTTTCATATATGTTTTGATCTTTAGATGAACTCTCATTCGATGTACACCAGTTTTCGTTGTGTTTACGATTGGTGATTTCAGCAAGGAGATGATCAGGTTCGTGATTTATATTTTCAGAGTTTGCGCCGTAGTTTGTGGTGTTGTGTGATCGGACCACACTGTTCATGAAATCGTTGTGAAGCCCCACATGTGTATCGCGCTGACTGTTGGTGCTCGTGAGTGACGGAGTCTGGAAGTTTTGTGACCCGGGTCTAAGGACTATGTCTAGTCCGGGTTTTTTCGATTTCGACACTAACCTGCTCGTGAGTAATGTTGCTGTGACTATGCTGCATTTCGAAAATTTGCGTTCTTGACTTCAGATGCACTTTCACGAGATTTTTTAATTACTCATCATATGAGCTAATCACTTGAAGAAAATCCACATTTCCGGTGCGTCGGGTGATCTGCCTTTTTTCTTGCGATCAGTTGAATTGGATGTGCCAAAAACTTCTGTGATGCTTGTCTCGGTAATGATATTCAATTATTTACAGTAACTCCGTATTTTTAGCTGTACAGGCGATTTTTCTGAACGACAACCAGATCAACGGGATAAAATACAGTATATCAATGCCTAGGATTTCTCAGCATCTTGTTTAGTTCATGAGTAAAGGACAGTGAGCATCGAGAAAAATGCCATCCGTCACCTTTCTCAAAATTGTTCGTGCATACATTTTCTGTTCTGTATCCCATTCAAACGATTTCAATCTTTGCAGCCATTGGACGATCCTCCTGGACAAATCGACGATTATGATGCGTGCAATGAGCAGACTTTCGGGCTCGATGACTTGGGGGGTAAGAAACTGGTTTGTACAGTTTTTAGAAAAGAAATTCGATCAGTAGATTTGTATTTCAGATGAAGAGTGGAACGAGGATGCGAACGCTGACATCATTCAACAAATCGAGAAAGAGCGGATACCCAGTGAGGTTCGTGTATATCGATTTATTTCAAATATTGGATGAATAATATGGTATTCGACGTTCGTCTCTTTTTCCTTTTAATTTAACTTCAGCGAGACGAACTCGTTGGCCCGACGGTCAAGCCATCCAATGACGATCAAGAGGACTTCGAATATATAACCGATAGTATTCAACAACTCATGTTGGACGACGATGACGACGACTTTGGACTGGGACCCTCGGTACCATTCGATGACCCGGCAATTGTCAGTGTGCCAAAAACTCGTCCAGTCGCCATCAAACTGGTTTGTATCCTTTTCCGATCTATATTCATTCCTATTGTCGATCAGAAGTCGTATCTCCAGGGTATAAGAAGTTGCACAGCAATTTTCATGCAATTTTTCTCAATTTTTCAACTCCGAAGAATGTCCCCGTCAGTATCGCTTAATTTGTTTCCCGTTGGAAAAGGGAAATTTAAAGAAGCCATCCAAAGCGTACTCCGTGTATGTTTTTCAAAGTTCGTAGCTTAAAAACTATAAATGTAAGATCCAGAATTTTTGCAGAAAACAAGGTGATGAATACGTGTATATTATTTTTATTAGACGCGTCCCCTGGCTTGAGATTCAAAGAAAAGTGCAGTACACAGTGACAATAACTTTGTTTACAGGGTCAGAGAGGAATCTCGCCACCGCCAGGTTTACCTGAGTTCGACGAATACGGTTCTCCTGCCAAAACGAACATATGGGCTCCACCGAATAGTGCTGCAGCCAAGGGTGGCGTATCATCTGCAGCGGAGTCGGATAAAACCCGCCCTAGATTACCTCCTGGACTAGACAATCTTCAGTATTCAGGTGTAGCGAGTAGCGGGCCGCAAACTCGAGTCGTCAGTTCTGGGCGACCATTCGACGACCCGTCCGTTGTTCACGCCTTGCCGAAAGTGACAAAGGGCGGTGTTCTGCCAGAAATGAAACGCATGGGGACGGTTCCGTCACCGGCTAAGGTAGGGTTTCATTCCTGCATTTTGTTTATAATTGGGAGAAAAACGGTTCTTGGGCGAACTTATCCTGTTCTCGTCAACGAGCGACATTTACGACACTTCTGTGTCGCTAGTGCAAAGATGTCGCCTGTATGTTCAGTTTTTGTGACGTCTCCGTTTTCTCTGTTTCATTAGATAATTTCCCAGCCGAAAACACTAGCAGAATTGGAGCAGGAAATGCTGGCCAACGATGCAAAGAATCGAAGAGATGCGCCGCCTTCGTATCGAGTTCCACCGCCGCAAGAACCTCCTCCGCCACAAGCTGATCAGACACAGATCAGGCAACGTCCACCCGTGCCTCCGTTTTTCCCAGAACCACCGCCTGGAATGTTCGGTCGATTTCAAGGTCCACCTCCAGGACTTCCGCAAAATATGAGACCTAATTTCCCGCCAGTGCGTGGCTACATCATGAATGGGCCAATCCCTCATCAGGTGATTGAAGGAATTTTTTTGTATCAGAAATAGTCGAAGAATATGGACTTATACGGAGAAAATTTTCTCTTCATTTTGGTCGCAACGAGCCTCTCGGGCGATCAAGTCGTGTATGAAGTGTGTAGAATACGCGTATGGCAAATTGGAACATCTTGGTCAAAATCTCAGTGCAGCCAATGCGTCAAGTCTCGGTAAAAATAAAAATTGAGAAAACGTATTTTACAGTGATGTTTTCAAAATTAGCAGGGATGAAAAATCAGCTTTTATTCGATTGAAAGATGAAAGTGCAATTGTAGCCTTTCTTAGCCCAATGGTGATAGAACTACGGTATTGATTTTGTCCAGGTTTAGAACCGCTTTGTAACGATGTCGACGTGTGCAAAATCACGTGATTTCAAGAACCAAAGTACAGTACTGTATTAATCGAGTAACAAGCGCCCTGAAGTAAGGCAGGCATCAACATTTTTAAACCTAAAATTTGATTTAAAATGTATCCCCGAGAAGGATGCGCCCCCCATTTTTAGAGACTGAATTTTGAAATATTTTGGAAGTAAAATGCATAAAAATTTAAATTTTGACTCGAATTTTCGTCATTCTGAATGTGAATTTTTCATGATTTTCATTTTCAATTGTCTGTAGAAACTGGTTAAAAATTCTGTGTTTGAATCAAGTACAGTATGAGGTTCACAGAAGCTTTAAATTATAGAAACATGTTATTTCCGCCAATCACGAGCACCCTTATTGTTTCTTTTATCAGAAAAAAAATTGCATGTGTATCTCAATGAAATACAGTACATTAGCAAAATTAATTGTGAAGTAATGTATGTATTTTCGTTTATATACAGAGTGCCTAGTCCTTCGTATTGTATGTTATCACAAATGCTTTGAAAGACAGCGATTTTTTGACATAACGAGATCATTGACACGGTTGTGTTTCGCAGATCCAGGAGAGAATGGCAGGCATTTTAAAGCCTGTTCCGATTGATGGTCGTGTACGAATGCCACAGCGCCCTCAGTATCCAGTTGTACAAAACCTGCCTTCTGCCAATATGCAACAGCAGCATATGCGACCTATGACCTCTTCGCCACCGTTTGACGAGTTTGCTGGCTTCTTGACGGACAAGGATAAAACTCGTCTGCAAAATATTCAACTCACTCAATTGAACACGAATAATCCCTACATAGATGACTATTATTATATGGTAAGTTTATTTCTTCGTCCATTCAGTCGTCGTGACCCCAAAAGAATGATTAAAGACTGCAGAAGTACACTTTATTGACGACGGAAATCCTCTGTTTGTCAGTATTAATTTCTTTGACTTGTATACATGTGAGGTTTTTTTTCAAGTATTCATTTAATTTTTGTCAGGGCCTGATCATCTGGCTGAATTGAAATTTCGCACTCATTTACATCAATCGGGAAATGAGAATCAGTAACCTTGAATCTAAGAGGAATCATAAAAAAACTGTATATCCTGGAACGAAAATTTCAAATTTTATTTCTTTCAAGGTGAAGGAACTTCGAGCGATTGAGCAGCTTTTGAGAACGACTGAAGCCGGGAACATGGATTTGAAGGAACGCCTGAAAGTAGTTTGCAGTGGTATTCTGAAGGATCAGTCTGCTTTACCCAGTGGTGGTCATGCGGCTTATGTGCCTCCTGTTATGGAAAAATCACTCGGTTGTATACAAGTCGTGAGCGCTATTGCACCGAGAAAAACTGTCAATATCAAGCCAGTTTCGTCCAGATCGCAGCAATCCGTCCTCTTGTTGATTGAGAACGTGAGTGTTGGAGTGGCTGTTTAATACATTCTGTAAGCGATTTGTTGAAGAGGAGTCTCGAAATTTGTTCCAGCTTTTCTTACGCTTGTTGGAGCTCGAGGATATGAGAAGACTTGCGAGTTTGATGAGCGACGAACTTCTTAAAGAGGCGACTTTGTCCAGATTGGAATTGAACCTGAAATCGATTGCCTCATCCGTAGTATTGGAATCGAAAGTAACGTTGATGGCCGTCTCACGTCATCCTAAAGGACGCGTACGTTTTATTTTTCTGTTTCCATTTTTATTTGAATGATTTTCTTTTGTTTTCCAATATTTGTCCTAAAATATATTTCGTGGTACATACTACAATATCAGCACGTGGAAAAGTTCATCGAAAATTTATTCATTTGGTATTTTCAGCGAACGATTCTCACAGCGATGTACAACTCCTCGTTCGTGGGGCACCTAACTGTTAGTACCAGGAATATCAATGAATCGTTTAAGATCGTTGAACAATGATCCAGAATTTCAGTTTACTCCAGCGAAGGGAGATACAGTATATCGGCTTGAATATTTACTGATACTCTGGCATGAAACTTTGGAGTCGGATTTTTTGAAAATGAAGCAATAAAAGTTCTTCAGTCTGAGTTGAAGTGTTACTTGGACCCCGTATGTGGTTAATGAACATTGGCATGTTTTGCAAAAGGTAAAATTCACTATACAATCTACAGAAAGGTTGAAAAGTTCGTGCTCGTCTGTGAAAATCTTCAATTTTCGTGGGCTTAATCTTGAATTTTTCTCTTGGAAGATTTTGCTGGCTAGGCTTTTGACGTTTCCAACACTGGGAGCGAAAATCGGACCGAAAATCACGGATGCGGCGATGTCTACACTTTCTGTAGCATTTCCTCGGGAAGTGACGGTGGATCGTGACGTGTTCCTATTGTCGCTGACGTCGCCATCCTGTATTGGAAGGTTCAGTCTCGAAGAAGTCGCTGTGGCTCTCATCCAAGTCCTGAAAAACCCTGTTCTAATGAACACGGTTCTTGTGAATCGGGTACGTAAGTCCCTGGTACTTGGTGTTCCCAGACGCTGGTATTGTGCCTCGCTTGTTAAGCTGGGTACAACGTGGAGATTAGTCTTAACGATGAATCGTCTAAACTCGAACCGTCTCTCTTGATTTTTTTATGAAACGCTGGAAAAATTCACACGCTGTAGTGCTGGATCCCATGTTGAACCGACCGTACGGTATTTTTTTTCTTCCCTTTCCAAGTACTCTTGCGGTTCATCAAAATCGACGAACGAAGTATCGAGAGACAAGATTGTTTTTTTAATTTTATTCAAAAGCGAATTGATTTCCCAAGATTTATGATAGTCATTTCCTTTTTTTCAGATGGGAGTATCGTTGTTGCTGGCCATCGTTAATAGGGGAGTGATCCTTGTGGAATCGATGTCACATCAGCCAGGCTTGGCCCAGAACCCTTTGAAAGAATTCGCTGATTTGTGCAGACGGGTCATTAGCGTCATGCTCACTTGTGTCTGGTCCCCTGCCATTGTACCTCGGGACTTTCTCAGCCGCACTGCGAAGGTTAATTTTTCTCAAGTTTCCTAATGTCTGTGCATCCGTTTTTGATGCAGTTTTGTTCTAACTTAAAAAAAAAAGATTTTGAAAAAAATAATTACGTATAATTTTCGTAAATTTCGTCTCAGCTGTATTTCTTTTTCATGAGAACATCAGTACTGTACTAAAATGAAGATTTTCCGAAAGATACTATGCAGTGGAAGTCAGCAATTTTCGATACGCTCTAAGTCTTGAGTTGGATGTTTGCTGCAGTACATCCAAGCAGCGTTGATCCAATCGGAGTTTCAGAACTAATTCGCGCGCATTGAAGACTTCCCCGAAGCGAGAAAAAATTTGGAAATCGGTCATTATTTTCATGATGTCTTATCCGGGATTTGTTCAATGCATGTTGGCCAATTTCTCATTTATCTGTTGGAATCCAAAATTAGACAGAACTTGAAGTAACTGTGATGCTATTGTGACTGTTGGTGGCATCACTCATGGAAAAATTATTGTTACGCAAGGAGCTTGAAAGTTTCATAAGCATTTTAACTTTCCTTTTGCGCTGTGATTCCTTTAATATATTTCAATTTGATTCATTCAAATCGTAATATGAGCGATTTATGCCGAAATTGAGTTGGATTTCAAACCTAATGACACGTTTTAATTTTCGTTCGAAGGTCCTTTCGTTGCCTGGGGAAGCTGTGCGTGACTTGGAACTTAGGTTGAGCGATTCTCGTGGTTTAGCAACTTCACCGGCCCTGATTGACTTTGGCGTTCGAAGCGGGATTCAGGGACATGCCACACCGCCGTTGATTGATCTAGGAGTTACTGGGGAGGTAGATTCAACGCCCTTGCTATTACCGACGAAGGTGAACTCAGTGGTACGATGATGGTGGGAAAATCCGGGTGATGAGTTTTGTGCAAATTAAACCCTTTCATTCAGTTTTTCTACCTCGAATGCCCGATAAGTTAGCTGCCAAAATTAATTTTAAATAATAGGAGAATAGCTATGAGCAATCTTGATCTACGTTTTCAGGAAAATTATTGGAAAAATGACGCGTTGAATTGAGGAATTGCAGTTTTTTTTTTGCTTTCAAGGCGTGCTTTCCTCCATATTCTTGATTTATTTTCGTTTTCCGCTGTTTCGGCTTGATAGACGGTTGATCAGCTTGAGATTTCAATCTTCAAGGGGTAAATCGAAAATATCGAGCACAGTTTCGTGCAAGAATAGTGATGGAACAATACGAAAACCAACAACGAGAGATCTGTAAAAAATCGTGGAGTTTCGCAAAATGATGAAATTTTCGCTTTTATCGCATCAATTTTTCGGAAGAACATTCCTGTGCACGGTATTCTGCGTTTTCACTTCCGGGTGTCTGAAAAAATTCAAGCCGAAATTGAATTGCAAGTGTTCCTATTAATGTTTTATCATTACTTGTTTCGGGAGAATCAACGTGTTTCTGTTATTTTGTAGAAACTGCCCAGTGACGGTAGATATTTGCCAGAATTGCCGCTCAAATTTTAGGTTTTTTGTTTTGGGCATTGAGTAAAGCATAACAATCTATTTGAGTAAACTTTTTTTTTTGTTCAATCGGGTGGAACTATTGATGCGAGCCTTAGCGACGCATTTGTTTCATATCTCGAACTGGCCTCGCGAAAACGTGTAACTTGGTGAAGAACGAAATCCTCTCGAAATTCAGAGGAATTGTTCGACTGGAACTACAGTGATTAAAAACCCTTTCCAAGGTGTTTCACTTCTAGTCTTGCGATTGAATTCGTGTGGATTGCTCAGTTATTTTACGAACTTTGACCAACTCTTATTTTTTTATTCAACAGGATGGTGAAGTTGTGATCGGTGACGTGGAACCGATTGAAATCAAATTCGCGTTGCGCATTTCCTACAGTGTCGGTAATGCGTTGCTCTCGTTTTGGTGGACGCAGTATTTGTTTTAGGTAATCCAGCCGTTGCATCAAAGGAAGACGAAGAAACCTCTCATTCAGTGGTTTCGTCTTTTTTTCTTGAATCATCTGAACTTTGTATTGTTAATACAGTAGTTCTCTGCAATTTTTGCATGTACAATATTTCTAATCCCTTTGAATTTGAACGAAATCAGCCGTGCCTTATTTACAAGAATCCAACGTATCCTAGCATAAGCCTAATGAAATTTTAAGTTTCAGGGACTAGAGGTATCCAATTTTCTTCCTCTAGTAGGTAATTTGAATGGAATCCTATCGAAAAAAATTTTCTTGGGAACAATAAGCGACCAAAATTTCTGAATTTCACTGAATCCAATTTTTTAAAATCTGGTGTCAGTTTTAATGTTTTGAAGGAGTACTACCGTTCCGACATTTTGGTACGCCGTTACAAGACGATATTCTGATAATGAATTGTAAAATTATTTAGTAGACCCCTGGACGGTTTTCTCTTCCACATTTCATTAAATTGAATATTTTTAAAGGGTCGAAATTCGTCTGAAGAACATTTTTCAGCTAATTTTTCCCGGCCCTTCAAAATACGACCGAAAATAGGCTAATACAGTACTACCATATTCCGAATCACGGTTATTCCAGCGATTCACCAAGGTTTTCACTTTTCCGAACAGAAAACTCGAGGAACCGCATGAAACCATCCACGGAGAATTTTTGAAAATGTTAGTCTGTCTTTTTCGGGACTGAAGAAAACTGAAAATTCTTCTTTCGAGATGAATGCCGTTTAAGAAAAATTTTCCGTTCAAATAAAATTTAGTCAGGTGTAGCTAAGGAAGTCTTCGAATCTAAATGAAAAACGTATTTGGATTCATGTTTTTTCAAAAATGGTACACCGAAATGTAGGAACTTGGTTAACATCTTGAAAAATTGTAAGGTGCGAATTTTTTTCAAAAGTTGCAATTAAATACTGTTCAAAGTAAACTGTGTACTGAACTTCAGAAAATTCCCGTCCTTCCCCAACAAAATGTTATACAGTACTGTACACGGTACAGTATTTTACTCATTTCGCGGACCCTGCTCAGAAATCGAATGCGAATCCTCGCGTGTGATGTCGTAACGTCAAATGTAATCATGGAGCGCGAATGAGAATCATTAATGTGACAAGAAAAATGTGCTTAGAATGTCTTGATACACGAGTTGAATTTTCTGTTCGCTCGAGTTTTCAGCTCATGTTTTGCGGAAGTTAAGGATGAAGTGATGCCGTGTGACGCTTCCCGCGGTCGAGCGTGTTACAAGTGCGCTGGTGCTTATCAGTGGTTGGAAGCATTTCAGTTTCCGCCCCCGGGACGTGATCTGATGCTTTTCCCCTGGCTTTTCTCATGCGTGTCTTTTTTTTCAATTTTCTGTGGAAGTCGTGCTACAGCTTTGCTCGCTGATTTGCAGTAATTTGAAGTAATTATTTCCTATACAGTTCAACCTCAATAACTCGAACGTCCTCATGTCGAATATTTCTCAAGTCTGTCTGAATTCCCTTAGAAACAAAGCATTAAAAACCTCTCTAACTCAAAGGCTTTTTTTCTTAAGCCTCCGTATCTCGAATTTTCTACAGGCCATTTGATACTGTAATTACATTTTTTTATTGACACAGGACAGATAAAAGCAATAAAAAAGTAGCTTGATGTTTTTTGAAAGTAAAGGAAAGACTGATTGAGCAAACGAACCCTTGTTTTCAGCATCTTGTCATGTTTTGCGATTTAAGAAGCAATTTAAGAAGCAAGTTTTCGATTTAAGAAGCAATTTCATGCACACAATATCACCGATAAAAATTTCCTTTAATTCTTTTTTGCTTTTCGCCCAACAAAAATGCTCGTTTCCTTTACATGAAACCTCCCCTAGTCAAATTTTATTTTTTCGTTATTCCCATTGAATTTTTTCTTGGACAGGTTCTACTGTACGTACATTTTTGATTTGATCTTGAATAGTGCAGTATATCAATTGGCAAAGATTCGCTTTTTTTCCTGCCCTTTACGTCACTTGAGCAGTCACCATGCATTACTACCTCTACCGCTAGACCAATTGGTGAATTAAGGTCATAGAAACATACCGGAAGTGATTTTCGGTGCAAATTTTTCCTTGCTTGAATGAATTTCACCCAGATCTATTTCCTGAAACTGGCTCCAATTCGCACACGTTAGAACCACGTGAAAACTTCAACAGTTTTCGATTCAAAGGTAAAAGAATTGTCAGATAGATCACTGCTGTCCTGGGCCTCCTCAGGAAGTGGCGATGTCGAATTGAAGACAGGCAGGCTCTCATTTCACGTTATCGTGATCGCGAGTTGCGATCGTCGACGTCGAGATAATGTGATTATTTGTCTCCGTTTTCAACAGGTTTCTCCCCCGCTTCTATGTTGACTGAAGTTTGAAGAATATAAAATATAAAACAAAACCAAAAAAAGAAGAGAAGCGAGGAGGAAATCCAGCCCCCACCGTGACTTGTTGAGGGAATTATTAATCGTTAATCTCAGCGTCGTTGCGAACGCGCCGTCAGTCATGTCCGGAGTGTTAGTGAACGGAGACGCAGTGGAAACTGACCCTGCCGCTGAGTTCCTTGCCCGCGAGCAAGATGAGTTGGCCGGGCTCGGCGATGACCTCCCCAACGTTGGCAGGATCAAGATTGACGGTAAGTCTCTTATTTCTCGATCGATGAGAGCGAGTA